AGAATGAACATCTGATATTTATATATTAATAGTACTACCTGAAAAAAAACAAGCAGAAATTTGATGTTTCGTGTGAAGAACCTTCGTCAAGAGTTAGTAGCCAATGTCGAGTTTCTGCTTGTTTTTTTCAGGTAGTATTACAAAATAACCACTCAGCACAGCATGACTGTGGAATAGTTGACAATCATTTATTTACGAGTTTTAGTGGAACCATTGTATAAATTGTTAAAGACCATGTAAAGTCTGTTCTGCGCATGCATTATGCAGGCCTACATTCCAATGGTCAGGAACCGACCATTGGAATGTTATTAATATTTTGCACCTTCCAAACTTTCTTGAATTGAATCTCTGGTCTGTATTCATTTACAAGCATAGCAAACCAGAAGAGTTAAAAATTCAGTATAATATATATATATATATATATATATATATATATATATATATATATATATATATATATATATATATATATATATATATATATATATATATATATATATATATATATATATATATATATATATATATATATATATAATATAGCACTGGGTTCAGAATGTAAACAAAGGGTTTGTTTACATTACATACTTTACATAGCCTTTAATGAAACCTTTTTTGGCTACTAACACCAATGTTTCTGACAGAGCTGTACAGGCAATACTTTAAACAGAAACAATATATTATATCATCAAACAATTCTATCAAACAAGTTGCAAAAGAATCCAAATTGCTGTTTCAGCTGTTTAATTGTTACATTCACACCATGATTCATACATTTACAGTTCAATTAAAAAATCCCAAATCTTGTATAAACACAGTCCTAGCATACGTGTACGCTTGTAAGTCTTATACGCTTGAATTTCTTTTCAATAATAACATTCCAATATAGTAGATCAGGGACATATGCCATCATTCCCAGCCTGCAATACTCACTCAGAGTGAACCACGAGTATGAATTATTACCATAACGAAGTCTGTTATTTTGCCCAAATGAACTAAAGTATGCATAAATCAACTCCTTAATCCCTTCACCACTTTTTCGGACGAAAAGTAACAAAAAATTCGTCGAAATAAGCAACTTTTCAGGCCAAATATTAGCAAATATATCGTATTCACTCATGTTGGCCGCGCATGTGAACGCCACAGGGGGTATGGGTTCAATAACTTATGGATCGACCAATCAGGATCGTTTTTCAATCCTGTGTGGCCAGAGCCACTCAATGATGGCTCTGGGTACGAGATTGGAATGTGATTGGTTAGTACTTCCGTAGTAGGTTCCTTCGTAGGGGAAGTGTGGAACCGGCCCAATTGCAAAAGGGTCATCCCCAACAATGGTTGTGTGAACAATGGAATAGAAAAAAATGTAAGCCTACTCTACCTCAACAGTCATGTCTTCATCCGACTCATCACCCTCGTCACTTTCACCTCTATCATCTAAAAACAAATTTGGTATACATCACCATACAGGGCGAGAATTGTATTGGAAATATTGATTCACAGCATTAAGGACATTTATAAAAGGCAACATTCGAAGTGGAAACAATGGTATTAAAAGTGGCCATTTTGTTGAAAGAATTATATACATCTATATTCTTCTTTTTACACGTTCTTTTAGAACAAAAAATAGGGATCAAAATAATAAAGCGCTGATTCAATTTCCAAATCAAACTTACCAGTTTCGACATCAACATCATCATCATCATCACTAAATTCATCTGCCCTGTTTCGTTCTGGCGGCTTTAAGTTTTCAACCTCGTCTTCATAAGCATCATCACCTTCATCATCATCTTCTGTCTCGAATTCAGCAAAATCATTCACGTCCGAATTTTTATCTGAGCCTCCATCATCTTTTACGGCAAGAGAATATGACAATAACAGTACAAAAAGAAGTAAAATGGATAAAATTTCATGTGAAAAATTTGACGCCATGTTGGTTTTGTTGAACGTCCGCGTGGTAAAAAGAACTCAGAAAGAACTGGAAACAAAAGCAATATTCGGTGCCGTGCTTCCACAAGAAATTCCTTGCTTTTCTTCCTCAAACTTCCCTAGAGAAATCAATTTCGTTCACGAGACAACGATCCTCGGGAAGGAACGTGAGGCTCTGACATGGGCTCTGAGGCTCTGGGATAATCCGTTTCAGGGAGGAATCTGATTGGCCGTTGAAACGAATGCGCAGTTCAATTTCACCCAGCCGTTCCGCACGTTATCAACAATATAGTATTGTAATTATCAACAGTTATCGCAATAAGTTATTGGGCTGTCACCGAAAAGAAAACCACAAAAATCGTGTTAGCCATGGCAATATATATATATATATATATATATATAAATATATATATATATATATATATATATATATATATATATATATATATATATATATATATATATATGTTATATATATATATATATATATATATATATATATATATATATATATATATATATATATATATATATATATATATATATATATATATAAATATAAAT